TGGAAGGCTGGAAGGCTGGAAGGCTGGAAGGCTGGAAGGCTGGAGGGCTGGCAGGGTGGAGGGCTTGCGTTGAAGGGGGGCAGTGGATATTTAAACTTCCGATTTAAACAGGTCATTTACACTACCTCTGTCATCCTTGGGCCTGGGCCGCCCTCCACATATTTAAAAAGCGTCACCGTACTGAACTGTACGCCACTGCACTGTACTATGCTGTACTACTATACTGTTCTTTGTTCAATCCTATAGTTTACGATAGTCTACCATAATAGAATAGACTGTTGTAATACAGTAGATTACTACCTGCCCTTATTGCGATGACTTCCGGCCTCCTCAGCGCTGATGGCCAGGCGAAGAAGTCCATCCGCCTCCGTCTGCTGTTACCCCTCGGCCCTCAACGCGTATTGAGACGACCTCTCACGACACTCCTCCTCGGGTTTTCATGTGGGTAGTTCTCTAAAAAGAGGGTCCCTTTTTAGGTCCCCAATATAGTACGGCACCCTTATAGACAGGACCCCACAAGGGACCCTCTTTTAGAAAACTGCCCTTGTGGCCTCCATCCGCGTCACCTCTGCAGATGTGGCATCCAGCGGCAGGCGCGGACCCAGGCCAGGAGACAAGTGGATCCTCCAGAGTCTCGTCACACTGTTGATGATATAAATCCTTAGCATTACCTTATAAGGACCCTAAACTATGGGAATTATGGCATATTCCTTATTATGGGTAATGCAGGATTTATATCATCAACCGTATCTCATCGATGGGCAAGTTGCACGGAAGCCAAGCCTTGAGTGCACGACGGGCACGTCGTCGGGTCTGTCCTCCCGGGTCGCAGTGACAAGTAGAACTGGAATCGAGATAAGCAAGGCCTCACAAATCGGACGTGGCTGCGTCCTGAATCGCCACTACATACTCCTCAGCCCTGCGCGGATGCCACAGATCCTGGGGTTGCGTTTCGCAGTAAACCAAAACTGAAAGAAGCCAACCCCAGCCAGCCAATTCAGTTGACATGGAAGGGGAAGTCAACGTCAAGTGTCATCATCGTCCGAGAAGAATACCCAAGGCTGATCCGATGGCTGAATGTGACGCTTCAGGCTTTCCTGCAAACAGGAGCAAGAGTGTGTGTTTGTCAGGGTGTGGCTGACACTCACAACAACTTCCCAGCGCGTCCCGCAAGCGTGCGTAGTGTTGGAACTGTGCACGCCGACCCCTCAATCGGGGCATCGCATGGATGACGCCCCTGCGTGGCACAGTCAATCAGACTCAAAGGTGAGGATGCCGCGCCAGCAGATTCCTCCGGCCTTCTTTGGAAGTCATCGATGACTGCAGAGGCTCGTTCGGCCACGCCGTCTTGGGAGGCCCGGTCCTTTCAAGCGCAACTGCGGCCAGCTGCGACTGCGATTCGCGTCAAGGTCACGTCGGTGCCTCCGCATCCTCCGTGGACCAACTCACAAGCAAAGGGACGGACAGCGTCTGCTCTTCGACAGAGCGAAGCAATCCTTGGCTGCAATCTGCGGCTTCCTGCGGGGCTGAAAGCCTCAATCTCAGCCAGGGTAGGACTGGCTTATGCAGCTTGGTAGCTCCGCAACCGATCGACCCGACTCGCATCTTTTGTTGCAAAGTGTGCGGCTAGCAGTCCTCCAACAAGGGGCGAAGGACAGCAGAAAAGTCAGCAGTGCCCAAAATTTCGTGGACATGATGAGCTGAATGTCCCCACCTATCAATCGAGGTCGCGCGACCATCGGTACTGCATCCTTCTCCTTCTGTCGTTGGCAGCTGTACGGTTCGGCATGGAAGCTACACGCTCCATCTTCTGGAGATCATCTGCAACCAAGGTGCCGCCACTCAGGCGCCATTAGCGCATGCCCCGCGGCTGCTGCTGAAAAGGCCAAGGCAGGACAGACCATGGTTCGCAAGAGACAAGTGGGCGTTTCCGAAAATAGGGGACCCTAATATAGTAATAGTACCCTAAATATAGTAGGATCC